AGCATTCCGATTTTCGGCATTCTGTTGTAAAACCTACATTTCGTTTTTCTATTTGAGATTTCCGTTGTTTTTCAGTATGGGAATTAGGGTTATGAAAATCTTTTGGTTTTAGATCAACTTGGGGGAAAACCGAACGTTTTTGGACCGTAAATCCGGAAATTTCGCCGAAACGCGGAAATTAGGGTTGGGACCGAAATTTTCGCGAATTTTTTTCTTCGTTTCTCCTTGTTTGAGAAATTCCGAAAATAGGTTTAGGCGTTTAAAAGTCGGATTTTGACGGTGGGAAGTCTCGAAATTCGCATTTTTGAATTTTCGAGCGTTTTCTTCTTAAATTTTCCGAATTTTTTTAGCACACTAAGCCATATCTGACCTTAAATTGCAACTACCGGGCAGTCCACTTATTAAACAGTGAACTCCCGGTCTCATATTCATCTCAAAGAGACCTAATCATTATACCTTTCAAATTCGTTATTTGGTGATCGTTATTTACAAACATTGTTTACCGATTATCATTCGGATTTATTCCGTGAATTATCATTAATTAAATTTTATTGATTAAATCGTTATAATTCCTTATTACGAATTTTTTCAAAGGGTTTACGGGAAATTACTTTTTCCGTTTGATTAGGTGTCGACAGTCCATCAGTGGGACAGGGGATTGTATGTATCTTGCTTGATTGTTCTACCCCTGTTCCCACTCTCCCTACCCCCCGTGTTCTGTGATTACCGGGACTTCTCAAGTACCGCATCAGCTCAGACTGATGTCGACAGAACAGGAGATCGGGGCACTGCCACGACGCAGTGCCAGAATCGCAGTTCGTGCCCGCCCTGCAGTACCTCCAAGACCGAAGAAACTCAGCAGACGGACAACTCCAGCAGCATCAAGTACGGCATTGACGGTACAAGACGCCACAGGAGATCATCCCACATACCCAGTCCGAGGAGCCAATGAGCCCGCGGCTGATTATCGTGGGCGGCTACTGGCATTTTCAAAAGCCGTAGCTGCCGTCGAGACCCGGAAGGAGATAGCAGAGGCAGAACGTCAGCGGCTAGCCAATGAAGCGGCAGCCGACGCTCAGCGAACGACTGAGACTGACGCAGCGACACGAGACAAACGGAATGCCAGCAGCACGGAGTCCTTGATTGCTTGTGAGCATCAGTGGACGACGGTACTCCAAGACATGATCTTTGTGCCTACAGAAGCGCAGGCAGACCCGACACCGGCGGAGGCAGAGAGAAGTAACCTGGCTAACTTGCTGTTGGGCATGATGAGAGGTATTATGTGDAATAATACACTGCTGCAGTCACATCTGCGCGCGGACGTAACGCAGCGACAAACATACAAGAATGATATGACTACGTTAACCACTGCTATCCGCACAGAGGCAATGCAGCAGCAGCAACAGCACCAACTGTTGAACTCCACTGTCACACGCGTCAACAGCATAGAGGCTAACGCCTCAGCAGCGCCARGCTGCACGACAGACGTGACGAAGCAACTCAACGAGCGCATCGATCACGTCGTCACCATCATCGGCGACATAAGTAAGTTCACTGGACCAGACTCGATCAGCAGCACGGTGGCCGCCATCAAGACGGACCTCACCAAGCTACAGACGAGACCGGAAGCCGCTACAAAGACGTTCAAGATGCCGCACTTCGACATCAGCAAGTTCGACGACTACAACAAGTCGGACGCCTTGTCATGGTGGCAACGTTTCCTCACGGAAGCATCATGCCGCATGGTCCCRGCAGACGACATGTTGAAGGCAATATATCTACAACTGATTGGAGGAGCGCAGGGATGGATGAACCACCTAGCAGCTACACACAAGTGCACTATCGCCGAACTCCACACGCACATTACGTGGAAGGAGTTCGAGCAGCTATGGTTCACCCGGTTCATGGTCCGCAACGTCGTGAAGGCGGCCATGAATGAGGTGTACACATGCTCTCAAGRGAACATGCCAACGCGAGACTGGACAACGAAGTGGCAAAAGATAGTAACCACAGCAGGTTTCGACTTGACATTTCCAAATCAACGATCCGAGTTCTTCTCGCGATCATGCGCAGGATTGCGGTCGGCACTCGGTAATGAGTACGACTATACCACATTCCAGGCCATTCTCGATTGAGCGAACTTGGTCATCCAAACGGACGACAAGGCCGCTAACGAGAGGCAATCCCAGCCGCACTATGTGGCTAAGCAGACCTATCAACGTCCGGCACATAACAATGTCGTATTTTCTGAAGAAATCGACGACCACCACGCGGCGGCAGCATCCTCGAGTGATGGAGGAATTGTCGCAGCGCTCCCGCCGAAGCATCCGAAGAGAGTTCGCAAGAACAAGGCGACACAAGGGACAGCGGCGACGGGAGYTGGGCAGCAGCCATGGACGGCTTATAAGATCACCAAGGAGGTCTATGACCTACGTCAAAAGTACGCATACTGCCTATGGTGCAACAGTGTAGTACACACTACCGCACAATGCCCAGACAAGGGCAAGGCACGCGCACCCCGTCCAGCCAACTCGGGAAACTGAGTTACGCAAGGAAAGGGGTGACGTCTCTCCTCACTCCGCCGGACCCGGTTGCCTTGCTAGCAATCGATGTCACTACCGGGAAGCATGCGTTAGTCGCTGATTCTCGTGCCATGTACGAGGATTATGCCGCCCAGCTGGTACCACCATTAGACCAGCCTAGCCACGTGCATGTAGATTGCGTATGCACAGCCTGTACACCGTCGG